GAAAAGCAGCACGTGATATAGATGTGGAAGGGGCTGGTGGTTGACCCAAGCTTTGCGACATCTCCTTCCTATCTGAGGCAAGGAGCTGTATAAATTGTTCATGGACCCATCTCTGGGGGCTTGCTTTCTCTTTGCTGCTTTTGCAGTCAAATGAGATTTCCTACTGAAATGGATATAGTTCAGGTTAAAAATGTAATGCCTCCTCAAAAGGTTCGTACCTTTGACATACATATGCTAATCTGATCCCTCTGCTCTCTTCAACCACCATCATGAACATGGGAAGCTTAAAAAAAAGAAAAAGATGTGTTCAGATCTCAGTCTGAGACAGGGCATTAACCAATTAACCGCTTGCTCTTATCAACAGGGGGTCACTCAGCTCCTGCCTGGTCAGAGCTGCTGTCCTGACTAAGTTGGATGGAGAAAGGGCAGGCCTAACAAAATACAAATTATATATATCTAAATAATCACACCACTAAATACTAAGATGATAGCTTAAGAAGCTCCCTGCTTCCTGGAGATACCACACTGCATTAATGGAGCAGGGCAGATAAGAAAGAGCTGTGAAGGGAAGCAGGAAGCTCTCGAGGGCTGGTACCCCACATCAGCTCAGCAGCTGTGTGATCTGGTGCCTCCATGCAGCACGTTGGCACCTGACCTGATGCCTTCTCTTTCCCTGCAGCTCTGATGGGGCTCCCTTCTATCTCAGACACTAAAGAGCATGGAGGGACAGAGAGAAGAGAGTCCCCAGCAAACCCAGGCTGTTCCGCAGAAGGGAACAGGCTTGGGGGCAACACACATGTACTTTTATAATCCTATTTTTTCCTGCAATGTTTGTTCTCACATTAGCATCAACAAACAGGCTCTGACCTTGCCTGTTGATGCTTTAAATGCCCTGTTACACAGCAAGCATGGGAATGAGTTAGTCACATGGAAAGTACTTAGTCTCACATGGGCTGTTCATGTGCAAAGAGGAAAAAAAACCCAGTCTCACAAATACAATAATCTCTGCAGGAATCTCTCTCTCCCCCCTCTTTCCCCCTTTCTATAATGATGAAATACAGGCTGGATTTTTGCTTTAAGGCAGAATCAGATCACTGTTTCAAGTCATTATAAAACACAGACAAATCGATACTTTATTCTTCTTAACAACCACGGCATTAACTTTGTCACACAGGCCTGTCTTTTAAGAAGCTACCTTTAAGAAGCTACCTTACGGTAGGGTGAGTCTAAAAGATGAAAAACCCAAAAGACCCTGAAGGGAGGAATGGGTAGAAAACAGCCCAATGCATTTCTCCTCCTGGCTGGCTGTTCCCAGGCCAGAGGTGAGCTGCCAATGCATCTGGAATTCATGGAAATGTGAGAAAGAGGTGGGTTTTCTGGCTGTAATGCCTCATTCCCAGAAACACACACTCAGCACAGACCCAAGCCAAAGCCACTGTAGTGCTCTGAAACGTGCTCTGCTATCCTCTCAGACCCTTTCCTCACTCATCTTTACCAAACAGACCTGAATTTTCCCAGAGATGAGGCACTTTAACCATAAATCTACCTTAAACCATAAAAATCTGCATGAAGCAGATCTGGGTTTGGGTGTAGGTTGCACAGATGCTATTGCTGCATGGATCACTCTGTAAAGCTCAATCAGTTCTCAGGGATTTCATTCACGTGTGACAGCTCTGCCAGGTAGCAAATTCACTGGTGACACCCAAAAAATTCTTTCCATGTTTTGGGGAAACCGCAGCAGGTGTAGGGACAACATAACCTTTCCCCAGCCAGAAACCCTTCATGAACAACTGCAGAGGTATTCAGTTGTGTGGTGAGAGGATACTCTCTTTTGTTCCACCTCCCAGAATAGCCTCTTGCAGTGGGACTTGGCAGCTGAGGCACACGTGTGGTGTTACCCCTGTGTGATGCTGCACTTCATGGTCAGGGCCGTGCCAGCCACCCCTGAGCTTGGCTTTGGGTTTGCTCCTTCACCTCCATGCTTGTACCTGTCTGAGCAAAGCCATGAGGCTGAATTAGCCTTGGTCTGATAACAGCCCCTGTGCACAGGGTACGTACGTCCCTGCAGCTCAGCTGGTGCCATATGTCCGTGTGCTTCTGAGTTACAAGAGTCCCACATTGTTATTCATTCAGCTGCATGGCTGCAGCCCTCCTGCTGGTGATAGATTAGTTGACCGATCTTCCCCAGCCGGGTTGGAGCCCATCAACTCCAGCAGCTCTGGGCACTAGTGAAGTTATTGCTCACAGCCAAGCACCAACATCAGTTGTCCCTGTGGGATTTCATGGTAACCTTTTGTTTGGCTGCTGTCTCTATGCCTCATTGCTACTGCCAAAGGGACTCCTATTTATGACTTCTGCATGTATGTGTGTGCCTCTTCCCTCCCCCTTTCCCATTGCTGCACCTCTGAGAAAGCCCCAGTGCTTTTTTTCTGCCTGAACATGTACCCCCTGTTGCCAGGGAGCTGGTGGGGGAAGAGGGAAGCAGTAAATCCACAGCCCTACTTCCATTTAATGAGAGTTTTGCAAGACTTCCTGAGCTATGTGTCCTTGCAATGTCTGTGTTTTAAATCCCTGGAAGAGTAACTTCCTTGGAAATGTGTAGTTTGAAAGTGCCTTAACCTGCAATTCTTGGTGCTGATTTTTCTTTCTGGAGCAGAGAACCACAAAACCACATTAAGCAGTGCAGTGGCTGACACAGTTCAATGCTGCAGTGCATCAGAGAACTGTCAGTAGCTCTTGCTTTCCTATTCTGCCTAATGCCAGCTGGCCTACAATGTTGATTTTCTTTTTTTTATGGTGATAGAATATGATTTTATGTGGGTGTAGGGCTTGCTCCTGCTCCTCGGTGCAGATCGTCGTTGATGAGATGTGTGTGGAGAGTGTACACAGGCATGCATGCAGGTTTTGGCTCTGTAATGGCTGGGCTCACATCGAAGGCAGCAGAGCTGTGATACCATTATCTGCTAGAGCAGTCTGGATACTTGCATGTGCTTTTTTGGGAGCTGCTGGGTCAGAATTTCAGCCTTGCCTTCACAAGCATTTATTCAGAGATTGTCTCTTTCCATGCCAGCACTTGGACTGATTACACCATGCAGCAGAAGTGAGGCCTGATCAGTTTTGACAGTCCTCTAAAAGTGGTTCTGACTGTTATTTCCCTTAGCAAAGGGTTTTCCCCTACACAGGCTTCTTCAAAGAGGTAGATGGTTTGAAAAAATGAAAAGGGAAATCTAATCCTTTATTATCAATGCTGCTCAAAAGTGACGTGCAACTCCCCTTCCTCAACGTGTATTTATACAACATAATAGAGCAAATGCTGAAAATACACCTGGGACCCCATGAAGAAAGCATGACAACTGTTGCTCATCACATTCATCTATTCTCAGGACAGTTGCCATTCAAGCAAAGAGAATCCAAAGGGTACTTTCTGCCCTTTAAAAAAAAAATTCAACATTCTGGTACAATTGCTGTAAAATCAGACTATTTTCTATACTGAACTTGCAGGGTACCACAAAATAATGAGCTCATATAAATGTGTTGCCTTTCATACATGGCACTCCATGTACTCAGAGAGGATAATCTAAACATTAACAAAACAGGTATTCACCAAATGGGAAGAAGCAAAAAGCTCTTTTTATTCTGGGAACATACAATGCCAATATACTCTACAATGAAAGAAATCTTCACTTTTCATTTAAGAAGGAACAGTTTTCTGATTACCCACAGGAACTGAACCCAGTTTCTGACCCTCTGCCAGCTATCTGTAATCCACAGACAGCATTGTGTCATTCCTCATTATACCGTTCAGGGCATAGATGTTGCTTTCTGTGTAATTACTGATGAACATAATGTGAAGCTATACGTGGCTTTTCCTGCTCGTGGACTGCAGAGGTAGCACAGTTCTGCTCACGTGTGCAATGCTGCTCAGTTGCTGTTAGCCAGTCTTGACATTTAGCGTCGCCTTGGTGATTTTCTGGGCTCTGCAAAGTTAGCCTGAGCTTCTAAAACATTGCCTTGGAAGTGGAAAAATAAATTTTGTTGGAAACCACCTGCTAAATAAACCTTCATCCCTTCTTGTTGCTCTCTCCTGATCCAATCTGCTTTCCAGATTCAGCTGCTAGGCAGAAGTGTTTCCTGAATAGCAGCAAATACATTTCAGCCTATGAATTGTTTACAAATTGGGTGCTTTGATGATCTGTGGTGGGTGATGGGCTGACAGAATCTCAATGCTGCTCCCAGAAAAAGCATCTAGAGGCTTTAAACTGGAGAATCCTATTGGACTATAGGAGGTGACTGATGCAGAGGGTAAGTCTGTCTCAAACATATGAAGGGTATTGGGTTTTGATAGTTACCTGTGTTATATTTTGTGCTACACTAGGTCCCAACAAGCCCAGAGGCTGGAATTTGTGAGTATCAGCACTATATGAAGAAGTAGCTAAAGATAATACCTGTGCTTGGGAAGGATATATATGTATGGTTAGAGAAAGAAGAGGTGCAGCCCAAGAACCAAGTGGTCCAGGTAGTACCTGAAACTTCACCAGTAAGCTCGAAATTAAGTGTTGGACAGTAAAAAGCACCCTAAAAGCTGGTGTTTCAGAGGAGCAAAAGCTCTGTGCTATTTGGCTCAGCCCCACAGAAGCCTCTGTGAAGCCAGCAGGTACTTGTCTGACCAGTGCCTGTCACGGGGACCACCAGGAGGTAAAAGAGCTTCTCTTGGATCTTTTCCTTTTATCCTCCAACCTGTCATGCCCGATTATCAAAACAACTCATTATGTGGACCCTCCAGTTTGCTCTGAGCTGCACTAGCAGCCTTGAAAGGGCCAAGGCCAACACCCCTGAGTGAGCTATAGTGTCAGGAATTAGGGAAGACCGGTGCCCCTGGAGTCATGCTTTAGCTGCGCAGAGCAAATCTGGTGACTTGCCACATGAAAAAAAACCCCACAGTATTTCTTTGTCTGTTAAATAATGTATATTAATTAAGAAGCTTTTGGTAATGAAATCACCATCCCCGTCTTCTTCCCATAAACCAGTTCTCTGTGCCTTGCCCCCCACCAGGCAGAGCTCCCCAACTTGGAGCACGCTTAATTTCCCAAGGAACCTTTTGTACACATCCTAATCACATGCGTTAGTGGAAGAATAAAAACTGCTGTTAGCCTGTTTCAGAGGCTGTTGGCATCCAGAGCAAACTCCCCAGCATGCTGCAGAACAAACAACAGGGTCCTCAGTAACACTGATGTGATTCTCTGGCTGTTCAGTGGGATTTTACCTCAACGGAACCATTCACATGCTATCTCCTGGCCATGTTTACATTAAGTGACTGTCCCTCCAGCCCCCTCATCCCTTCTCAGAGAATCTTATTCACTCCTTAGGCTTTTCACTTGGAACCATTCAACCTTGTTGCTTTGATTTTGTAACAGGACAAACTCCAAGTCCTAGCAGGATAAACAAGATTGCATGGCTAATGATTTGTGAGCTTAGCCTGAATACAATTTACCGCACAAATTCCAGCCTATGAGACTTTGTGACCTGCTAATAAAGCACTTTTGGCAGAGGCTGTACAAATACAAAGGATTTCATAGCCTTTGATTCTGGGTTTGTATCAGTCTCCCAGCTTGCAGAAATGCTGGTTTAATGTATGGCTTAAAATCTAGTGACAACTGTTGGAATGAGGCAGGGTTTGACCCCAGTTTGATTTCACTTCTGAGGTGTAAGGGATGTTCATTTCTTTAGCTTACAAATTGTCTGCTTGTAGCCAGAGTCCACAGATGCCTCACTAGTGAAATTGGATCCTGCCCTTATCAAGCAAAAGGTAATAATAAGCATCATTACATAGTAATGCTGGACTAATCAATGTTAGGAACTGTGACTCAGCTTCATCTCAGTTTGGTTCCCTGGCCAAGGAACATGGGGCACCAGTGCAGTGTGTCACATGAAGGTAATCTGCTGGGGCAGCCTGTTGGATTAGGCATTTCCTTCAGTCTGGATTTGTAACTGTGGCTCTGTCCATTTGGATTTGACCTTGGACATGTCAGTATGCATGGAAAGAGGAGATAATCATTCTTCTTTGTGAAGAGGAGAGCCTCGAGAGTCTCATAGTCATTACTTTAAGTGGCAGTCCGTCTCCTGACCTCCTTGTCTGGTGAAGTTCCCACAGGTGCCAGGATTAAGAAGCAGCCCTACAGCCAAACACTGCAAATCATCAGCCTGTCTTCTCTGCTTCTTTATAATGTGAAAATCTGAGGGCTGACCTGGGATCACGGCTTTGTTTGTTTGCTGAGATTGAGAGGCCAGCTTCATTTTATTGATTGCAGAGTCTCTCCTCTCATTCATGAATGCCGTCCACTCCCAGATTTTTAGATGGGATGATGAGGAAATGTCTGGTTATCCATTTCTTTGTCAGAGTCAGAAACCTCTTCCAAACACAGCATTAGCTGACACAGGCAGACTGCTAGCTAGACAAACACTGGTCTGTGTGTCGCGTTCGAGTAAATACCTGCATTTGATTCCAAAGGGCTCCATTGATTAAAACTGGCTCCCCCCACAGACCCAGGGAACAATCATTACAATAGGACACTGAGCCATTAAACATTACTACACAAAAATGCTGCTGGATCCTTTCATGTTTGTTGCTGTTCTTATTATTGTTGCGATCTGGAAAATTACCCATCAATCACTTCTTAAGCTGCTTATGGAAGTTTTGCTGAATGCAGGGTCTGGGTTTGCTGCTGAATTTGTTAATACTTGCTTCTGAAAAAGAAATAAAGCCATGGGAAGCCTATTAGGTTGTCTCAATAGCTGTTATTACCAGCCTGTTTCAAATGCACTGATACTGGCATATAAGGCACATGATTTTGGATTCTTTATTATAAGATTTCCTACAATGCAAATTTTTCAGCACTTTGGGTAGATTTGCGCTATGTCAGTATTGGTTAACTTTTTCAGCCTTTTATCGCTAGCTCATATAACAAATACCTTTATAAAAACCTGAGAATAGAGTGCAGTTTGGATCAGACCAGGTGTTTATCTAGGCTAGTATTTTTTCAGCAGTGGTTCAGAATGGGTGTAATGTACAGAGAAAAGTATATGAACAATGCAAACAGCAGCGATACCTCCATGGTATATTCTTTTAGCCTCAAGCAATTTGTAGCCTAAACATAAATCCACTGCAGTTGAGATGGTTTTAGTCTATAAAACTGAAAACCAGAACAAAGTGGAAAGACATCTATCCTTGAAGTAATAGGTTTATTAAAGCTTTTATTTAGCCTGTATCATGCATGGCATGTAACACCTGTGGAACTCAGCAGAAAAGTAGTCAGGGAGTCTATCTGGCAAACAAAATGCCATTGGGATAAGGCAGTTAACTTCAGAGCCAGATCTAAGGCACTGGAGTGCTGATCTTTTAGGACTTAATCTTGTAGTGGGTGGCAGGTAAGATAATTATTGGTAATGACAGTTGATGCTAAAGGAGACTCCACCTGCTGATTGCAGAATGATAAACTGGACTGAAGTCCCTGCTGGTGTACAAAACCCAGGGAGGCTATCTTGGAGAGCCAGGGAAAGGAGGGCTTGGCCACACAAGGACAACAGTCATGCTCAGGAGAGGATGAATGAAACCGGCCAGAAGAAACTAAAAAAGATTGAAGGGAATAGGGAGACAGTGGCAAGAGGGTTGGCACTCATTTTCCTAGGCAGTTTTATGCACATGGCTCTTCTCACTCCAGCATTCACGATGACCTGAATAGTGCTGGAGCGGCTGAACAGTTAAATCCGGAGATGGAAACAGCCCTGCAGTTGCTGGAGTTTGGATCAAAGGGAGACATTTGCTTTATAGTCTTGAGATTTGATTTTCTCAGTTCTGAGTTAAATCCCAAAGCAGAAGCTGCTTATTTCCTTGTTTAGTGTGGCCAAAACCTTGTAATAACAGCCACTCCTGCAAGAGTTTTATGTACGATATTGTGGGACTTAGGAGAGCAGTGACTTGTGAGATTTCCATCATTCTTTGGAAGGAGCTCTTAGATCAACTTTTATGATAATAACAGCGTTGAATCTGAACATGAATTTTATGCTAGATTCGGTTCCAGATCTTTTAGTCATTCTAAAATTAACTTCCCTTTTTAGCTCACATGAACGTGCAGAGAGTAAAGCAGAGGAATAAAACCCCATCATAAAATGTTTGCTAATGAAGGGAATGAAGCACCTGTGATCTCACACGTATTATTTCTATTTTCAAAGACGAATGCAAAGTCCATTGGGTGGAATTTAAACCGCTGTCGCTGAGCTAACTGTAGGAACATGGTGTTACTATGGAAAATTCCCGATTAAAGTCTGCACAGAATTTCCTATGCAGAGGCTGTTTATTAATAGGTGTCTCAGCCTTGCATCTGACATTGACAGTTTTGCCCTTTAAATGCATCATTTTGCAAGCAGCCTGATAAAATGCTGCACTACTATTTTTTGGGGGATGAAGAGAGAGCCTGTCCCAGCCCTCCTTCTCAGGCCTTTGCCAGCTGTAACTGCTACAGTTTGCTTTGCTAAGCACAGGAACAAAAACTGCAACCATTAAATTATTTTAACAAGACCATAAGAAAAAAAAAAAAGAAAAAAAAAAAAAGCAACAACAATTTGCCCAAGTGATGCTTGGAAAAAAAATAAACTCCTCTCTCTAAACTAATTAAACTGTACTATGTGTCCTTGCGCAGTTCCTGGCAGTTTTCTGGTTCACTCAGTTTCAATAGATGCACAAGGACCGGAGCCAGAGCTCCTGAGTGACTAGCTCAGAACAAAAGCAGGTCTCCTGAGTATTCTTGAGCAGCCAGCAAATTGAGGCAAAGTTATTTTGGGTTAATCAATGTACTTCAGTTGCAATCACATTTAGCTTCTAACAGAGGAGCCTGCAAACAAGGAATTACTGTTCTGAGCTCAGCTATGGATGGGACTGGAAAGTGTTACTGGCTAGACTGTGATCTTCTCAATGCCTGTTTTTTTTCCTCTCCCCTCCCCTCCTTTTTCCTTTTGCGCCCTGGATTTGGTTGGCAGTTTTACGTGTCCTCTCCATTTGCATTTCCCCCCCTGTTTATTTATTTATTTATTATTGGCACCAGGAGCATGGGAAATCATTGGCGGTTGCTTAAAAGTCCCCGCAGGGGAGAATTCTTACCATGTTCTAGCCAGGCCTACCTTATGGAGCTAGAGCAATTGTGATCAATGCTCAGCTTCCCGGCAGTAAATCCCTGATTTATGCAGGTTTACGAGGGCTGGCAATCGGAATCACTGAGGTGTGGCAAAGCAGGGGGATGGGAGCCTCCAGCATCCTGGAGGACAGGCAGGGTGCAGTAGAAGCTCTTTTGATCAGGCTCCCAGGTGAGTTTAACAGCCTATATTTAGGTGTGTAAATATAAAATTATTTGACAATCACTCCTCTGGAGGATCCTGAATGTTGGAAAATGACTCCCTTCCCCTACCTACTTTTGCAAATCTGGATACTGGTTATGAGGTGTGAAGTGTCTGCATGGAGCACCTGGGTGAGGGACCCAATGTAAGGTGTGCTGCAGGGCACTGCAATCTCGCCTGTCCTCCGCACCAGTTTTGGGGCATCAGTGCGCCTGGAGCAGCCCTACTGAGACTTTCTGGCTCTGTGACCAGAAGCTTTCATAGGTATTTACAACCCTGAAAGCCATCGTCTTGTTAAATGGACTCCTGAATTACTGCTCCTGCTGCAGTGTTTTATACATTCAGCCACTCCTTACTATTCATGTATGTGCTATTACGCTACAAAAATGCCAGGAGTCCAGGCACTCAGGCTGTGCTGGAAGAACCAGTTCAATAGATCTGTATCTATCAGTTCAAGCAGAGCCATTGCTCTTGGTGCAATCCCTAAATCCAACTCTTGCTCCCTTTCAGATTCCAGACTCTCATACACTCAGTGAGGATCCTGCCCGTTCACATGCCAGTGAGCCCCCATTATTGATGTTTCATTCACCTTCTCAGAACTTGGCTGGTAAAAAGGTTGAGAAGCCCAGACCCCCTGAATTCATGCAGGAGTTCGGGGTTCCTAAAGCACAAGCAAAAGGTCTGCCTGTTACCTCATCTCTTGCTAGTAAAGATTTACCTGGACAGACAAAAAACCGGGCAGCTTCCCAGACAAGTCTGAATGTTTCACATCCCATCTGCTCTCCTGGTAAGATACACAGCAGTATGTATCGCCTTAAAGTATTCACTTCACAAGGTTGCTCTTCAGGTCAAAAGAATGCTGTTACTGGGGAGCCTTCTTGAACTAAAACATGTTTTCTTTCTGGTGTGCACAAGCCTGAGCCCTAGTACAGCGTTATTGTGCAACAACACAGTGTTCAGACACCTGGCTGTGTCTCTTTCCTAACCTATGCATCCCCAAACAGCTCAGTGGGCTGTCTAGCAATGGTCTGGTTCTCTCTGAATGGAAGAGGTGATTTCACCTCCAAATACCAATGAACTCTGGATCTAAATCCCAGTTTTGCAGCTTTATGTACCAAGGTGACAGAGGCACAGTGCGCAGAGTCCCACTGACCATGACCATGGTCAGGACAGGATCCCCCAGTAGGCATGTGGTCCTGCAGAAGGCCTTTAATCTGACTGCAGTCAGGTTTACGTGATGTACTGTATCACAACCACAGATCTGCACGCCTGGCAACGCTCAACCCAAAGAGAGTTAAGCCTCCCAATTTGTGCAATGAGACTCGTAGTCTCATAGAGGTAAGCAAGCACAAGCACATCCAGATCTATAAACGCTGCTTTTGTTGTTGCTCGTCCTCTTAAGGATGGGTAGGAACTTCTGTGGGTGAGACCTTCTGTTTCAGAGACTTACAGTCCATCTGCTCTGGAATTACATGTGAACATTTTCTAGTTCAGCTCCTTCTGTTAATTTTTTGTTTTGAGGGGCTGTTTAAAAATGTCTTTATCTGGGTTTGCTTGTGCCATGCTTACAGGATTCTTGGGTGGAAGCCATGTGTTGGAATCCCATAACTTTCTCAGGCATGTTTTTCAGTGCTTACCGTGCTCAGTAAGGGTTGTCTCTGCTGCTGTCAAATTTTTGGCTTTGAAATAAGTATTTTTGTCTTTTTTTCCATCCTTTTCCTTTAGCATCTTTCCTTAGAGCAGTTTTTTTCTAGCGCCCTCAATTAAATACGTACCGAGACGTCCAGCTTTCTGGAGCTGCATCTGAACCAGGAGCGTAGACCTGAGTGCGCAGCATCAGGCTGACACAAAACACTGCTTTGTCTTTGGCATTCACATTTTCTGAGACTGTTTTGTTGAGACCACATCAAAATGCAAAACAGAGATCTGGACCTGTAAGTGTGAAAACTTGCTTACTTAATTGCAGGTGGTTTTGAAGGGCTGTTTATAAACACTTGA